TTTGTTGTTCTACTTCTTCCTTTCATAACTTTGCTGCTGTGAATTGGGAATTTCTCCATTGCGAGACTAATAAAGGTTTTCTTATCTTATCTTATCTTAAAAAATTACATGAAATATGCATGCATATCAATCGGTCATAGTAAAAATATACATACTGAATAGGTTTAATAAATCATTATTTATGGTTATGTTTCACAATTTTTATCATAATTTATGAAAAATCTATTAAATAGACAGATGTCAAAATGCCATTAAAAAAGACTAAATAAATGAAACACATGAACTCAACTGTAAAAAAAAATTATATATAATAATAATATAATTATGCAAGATTGTATTTCACAATTTAATTAATGGGAAATGTAAAAAATGATTTAAGCAACATTCTTTTTCAGTTGGATTAATTGATAAAAATAAGACAGACCCCTTGTTTTTTTCACTAACCTTTGTTTAATCCATCCACACAACAGCGATCTGGAGGAGGAAAATTGTGTGTCATCCCCACAAGTGTCCACTAAGGTAAATATCAATTTTCGCTAAATTTTCACTGCGCATTACCGGATCGTTCGCCAGCCAATCATTGCACATGTATAGACAAACAACCACACGTGCATCCATTTTTAAAAATAGAAAAATAATGTTGCCAATTGTGATCAGTATTAGTTGTTTTTCATGCTTTTCAGAGAGGATTTGAATAAAAGTAATCGATCGCAGATTATAAAATGCTATAGGACGTTGGTGACTAATTGGCTGTACTGTAACCTGTTTGGTAGTAAATCAGTGCATGAATTTGAAGTAGTCTATGAGATGTTAGATAAAAGCAAAGCAACGACAAAGAAAATGGCATTGTCGAGTACAATACAATACGTAGATTAAGATCAGCAAAATGTTGCTTTTTTTAATCTGTCCTGATCCTGCTTGTGTTATGAGCGTGCTGAGCAAGATTCTGGATATGTGTGCATTTTATTTCATGAAATCCTGACTGTGGATGATATGACAAACAGCGGCTTCTCAGTTACAGAGGTTATTACCAAGTGAATGTACGTGTGCGTGCATGCGTTTACAGCCACCCCCCCTCAATGACATGTTGGCCACCGTAGTGATTAATTCAAACTCACATTTACACATATGGACGATTCTGAGTTGTCATGCGTGTTTTTTGGAGCGTGGGTGGACGTCGGAGAACTCCAAACAGCCAAAATCTCTGAACTGTGTATTGTAGGCAGGCCAACCGCTGGGTCACCATTCTGCTAGTGATAAACTAATCGGTCCCCTCCCTCTCACCATGCTCCCCACTGCTTGGTCTTACCCGTTGACGTGTTTCTACACAGCAGATGGCTTTACACATAAATCCTATTAACAACTTTCTGCCCATGGAGACGCGCTGAACACGGCGCTTTCTCGCTCTTTCATTGTCTCGTCTGAGGAGCCTGTTTTGCATTATTTTCTAACATCTACCAAGAAGTCGTCACAACATGTCTGCAGAAAAGGTAAAGGCATGTTTAAGACTGCAAATCAACGGTTTTTGTGTCCATCCATAGAAAATTGAGATTATGATTAACAACGCTAATCTCACTACACACATAGGTACCTGGATGGGAAGTACTCCATTGGACTCGATTTGGTGGCCGACTGCAGTATAGCTAAGATCATATTTGTGTGTATTTTTATGATTCCCTTTTCATGGATTTGGAGTGCTTCTTAATCAGAAACTGTTCAAAAACAGAATAATTCCTGAATAATTCATTTCCAAGCCTTGACATCCTTCTATTCAGGAGGTTAGGACTTAAAAAAAAAAAAAAAAAAGGCTGAATACGGCTGTGTAGCACATTGTGATTTCACCACTTGATGTGATTTGAACATGTATTTCAAAAGTGGGAAATATTAAAATTGTACAATTGTACAAGTGCTTTGACCTCAGTAAATTAAGATATGGTAGAAAGTTTATTATAAGTTAAATTCAGAAAGTTAAAGTCATGTGACATGGATTCATTAAACGAAGGAAAATACTGCTAGGCCAATCGCTACCTAATTTAAAAAATAGAATAGAACTTCTCATGTTTTATTCTAATTGGCTGTGATTTGAGAGTTTTCATTGGCTTTCATGTACTCTAAGCTATAAAATTCAAAATTACAGTACAGTATATTGAAAAAAAGTAACATGAAATATCTGCATTGTGAGTCTTCACAATACAGGATCACCATGAGGTCTGAGTTTACACTCTGACTGCAATCTGTCATAAGCAGAATCAATTTCATCAACAGGCTAACTGAAATGTTCACTTATGCAACGTGATTAAAAACATCGGTAACCACTGAGTACATAGAACAAATCTGATTAACATATTATATTATTTGCTTTTGTAATCCTTATTTTGATGAAGTCCAGTGACTTTATGGACACCTAGTACAGTATATTGAATAAAAAGTCAAAACATCGGTGGTGGCGGCACGGTTGTCGACAGGTTAGCACGTCCACCTCACAGGGCAGAGGTGCAGGATTCTATTCCGGCTCCGGCCTTCCTGTGTGGAGTTTGCATGTTCTCCCTGTCCCTGCGTGGGGTTTCTCTGGGTACTCCGGTTGCCTCCCACATTCCAAAAATGTGCATGGCAGGCTAATGGAACACTCAAAATTTTTCCCAGGTGTGACTGTGAGCGCCGATGGTTGTTTGTCTCTGTGTGCCCTGCGATTGGCTGGCAACCAGTTCAGGGGGTACCTCAACTATTGCCCGAAGACGGCTGGGATGGGGGATGGATGGATGGATGGATGGATGGATGACCGCCGGTCAAAGGCCGGGTTATTGAGAAATGAGACCAAAATAAATCATTTTAAAACTTTTCCCAGCATTAATGTGACTTACCTGTATAAACCAATTGGAAAAAATGAAAACAACAACAACAATAAACAACTTTGTCAAAGTGGAGGGAATTCGGAATACTGTGGTTCCAAGTGGCAGTCAGTGTCGGCACAGCACGTTCAGGTGTCTGGCAGGAAGTAAAACAAAAAAGAAAATGTCATATAAAGGACAACGTACAGCAGAACTTTATTTGAGGTTAATCAGAGGCACTCCAACGTGTGGCAGGTGTACTACCTCCCGTTTAACTTGAATTTGAATGTGAGTGGTTGATTCTGAACACAGCCACATCCCCAGTCATAAGAGGGTGTGCATACTTGTGCAACCACAATCTCAGTTGTTTATTTTTACTTGGCCACATAAAAGCTTGGCATTGAAAACTTTTTGTACTCTTTGAATCGCACTAATGAAAATACAGTCAGGTTTCCATTATGTTTTCATTTATTGATGAAGAAACTGGCGTGTTTACCTTTCAGTGTTGTTACATCAAGAAAAAAAAGCACATCGTGACAGCTGGTCAGCTCCTCTGTCATAATCGTGTTGGAGCGCGCCAGGCCTTGCATAAATCTGGCGCGTCTATGCAGGATGTCTCATAATCTAACAGGATTACGTTCTCTGTCTCCACTGACCTCCTTTCTCGCGACACGTCGTTTTTCACTGTGAAGATCCGCGCCTCATCGTTTTCATTCCTTCACATTTGGGGCAAACTCACACAATGTTGTGGCGTGTGTACCAGGTGAAGCGGCCAATGATTTACTGGCATTGTGATTGAGCGTAAAACTTTTTTAAATCATGACTGCATGATTCCCTTTCCACGGTTATATTTGAGAACAGCGCAAGGATGTAAACACTGCTTCTCCCGCCATTTGGTGTTTGACTGTATTGTCACAATCATATGACTTGGGATGTTGATAATGTAACGCTTTTTTTTTGTTTCCCTTGCATTCACCATCTGGTTGTTTTATTGGTGAGTTAATGTCACACAGACGGATGGATATGTGCCACTTTTCTTTATGTATGATCATGATTAGAACGGTTATTATATCGTGTATGCATTTAAAAAATAATTTACCATGCACATTGTAAATTCAATTACAATGTGAATTGTTATTTTTATTACTAATAGTGATAATATTATAGCTACTGTTACTATTGTCTGTGTATTTATTTATGCAACTTTTAAAGGTGAAGTCAAAATTTTTCTTTACAGTAATATTATGTTCTATGCACCCCAAATAGTGTAAACACGGTATTCTGATTAATATTCCGTTTTTGGAATATGAATTAAGTAGCAAAATCCCCGACTGAAAATGACATCAAAGTGCCTAAGGGCTCAGTTGACAACCGTCATGGCTCACATGTTTTTCTGGGTTGGTTATGTGACGTTCATAAGCCTGAGACTGAGAGTGTGATGTCAGTCGAGAGCAAGCGGCAAAACGGATCCCTCCTGAGATGGATAAAAACAGGTGGATTTAGCTGCTAAATTCATATTTCACAACTCCAACATTAATCGGAATACCGTGTTTCGACTAGTGGGGGCTCATAGAACACATTGTTGTAAAGAAAATTTGCTTCCCTTTCATTAAATGTTATGAACATTGTAATCCCAGAAGAAGCATTTAACTTTGTATTACTATTATTATTATTATTATTATTATTATTATTATTATTATTATTATTATTATTAGTTGTTGTTGTTGTAGTAGTAGTGGTAATAGTAGTAGTAGTAGTAGTAGTAGTAGTGGTAGTAGTAGTCGTTGTCATAGTCGTAGAACTATTTGCTCATATCAGTCACATTATTTTACTCAGAAACTAATGTTCATTTATGCTTGTTTTTTTGTGCAATTATTTATATAATAAAAGAATTTTATTTTACGGTAGTTGTATTTATTTTTTATTTTTTTACTATACACATTTTCATCCAAGAGGGGAAATCCAATTATCACTCTGTCATTAGTTGCGGTACTGTAGTATATACAATATGTGTGGATTTATTTAGATCGATTTTTTTGTTTGTTTTTAATTTTTACAGTTTTGCCATTATTACTATTTACAAATTCCTATTTTTACTAATTGTTTTGTGTGGGGAGATTTTTTTTCAGGGTGGCTGTGTTATCTACGATCTCTTTTGTTTGACTGTATTGTTTTGTAAATGTCTGACAGACAAATCCAATAAAAAGAAGCCCAAGAAGAAGAAGGAGGAGGCTAACAGCACAAGCGAGTCCAAGCTGAATGGCAGCGAGGCCAAGATAAAAAAAATTAAAATCAAAAAGAATGAGGAAGCTTCTGAGGAGAGTCCTGTCTTGCAAAGTAAAGGAAAAATCTTTTTTGGTGTGGCGGGCGTGGTGGGTGCAACGGTGACACCTTTTAATCAGTCGGAATCCTGTCATCTGACATCATTGCAGTTGACAAAAAGGTGAAGAAAAAGAAACTGGACAAGACAAAGGAACTGGGCAAAGAAAAGGAAAAAGATAAAGAGACAAAAAAGAAAACGAAAAGTGCCCCCAAAAAGAAGAAAGGTGAGGCATTCGTAGCTTTGAATGTGCTTTGCAGCTCAACAAACTGATTATTTCTCTGATCAACATCAGCAGATTCAGTTACAGACGACGACGAGGAAGAGGAAGACACTGCTAAAAAGAAAACCAAGAAGAAGACAACCAAAGACAGCTCGCCATCCCCCAGTGCCACCAAAGAAAAGAAATCCAAATCAAAAGGTACCCGTGGAAAGACTTTTTCACGTGATTTCACAGCTGACATGAGAGGATTGCCGTGCACGATTTGATTGTGGAACGGCGTGTATAAGATGGGAAGTCACTGACGAGGAAACACGAATACCACGCTGACATGGCCCGGCTGTGGAGAATGGTTTGAAAATATTTTTACAGACAAGTCGCGATGGCAATCTGTGTAGAACATCTAGAGCTGAAAATCGCCATTGAGACTATGCAATATTTTAGTCTGGGATGCTGGTCCACATCCAATTAAAAACTAAATCTGCCGTCACATTAGAATTTGGCAACCAGCTTTAAACATATTGAAACTTTTTAAAGCACACTTTTAGAACATATTTGCACACAAAAAGTGTGTGAGTGCCTGGGCGTCAGCAGTGGCTTACAGCAGCTTCTATGTGCGTGTTAAATATGTTTATGTGTTTGCTGTTCCCCCAGCATTCAATAAATGGCTGGAAAGTGTATCGTGACTGTGGCTTTCCTTGCCCACAAGGAAGGGCATCGCACTACTTTTTTTAGTTTCTCCAGTTTTTTTCCCTCTACACTTGCGTGATGTCATTTCTTAATCTTGCACCCCAAATTTGGGCTTTTGACAATTGACCAAGCAACAGTTTTTCACTGGATTTGTTGGCCATGTTCACTGCAATACAGGTTTACTACTATGATATGTTTTTACATCGCATCTTGCATTTGTGTAGGACGAAGGTGTAGCCTTGCCTTTGAAAACAGAATAGCAAGCAAGTTAGAGTATTTTTTTTGTCTGTAGACCACCACTGTAATTGCATCTTGCTGTATTCCTCTGTCAACACTTTTCCCTCCATCTTGTGCTAATACCTCACGGTGGCGTTCATTCACGAGTCCAAAAAGTGAAACGTGTCATGATGCTTTACTCTGTGAACATCTGCTCGCCGCCAGCGAATATCTGCAAGTCATCTCAGATGTTGACAAAGCACTTCGTCAGCTTTTTTTTTCTTCTGCCTTGGCCTCTTAAACGTTTTAGCTGGAGATGGGAAAGCGTTAACTCGTTTGACAGATGTGTTTGACTACTGCTGAAACGCTCTTAGAAAAAAAAAAGAAGAAAAACACCTGGAAAGAAAGCAGGATCACATGCTCGACTGTTATTCGTGCTCCAAATTTGTCCTCATCTTTTTTAACTGATACTGTTAAGAATCATCCAGGATTTGAAAACCCAATGTCAGCATTTAGAACGTCCCGCAAAAAAAAAAAAACAGACATCAGCATAAAGCATAAATCGGTTGAAACGGTACATTTATATAAACATGGCCTTTTTACAACCAACTACATCTATTCTTATCATTTTCTACATTTTGGAAAAAAGGAATTTAAAAGTAAATCAGCAAGCGTGCCTTTAGAATGAAAATTCTTGTATTGTGTCACAATGTGATTTAGAACCCAGTGTGACTTGAAGAGAAATAATTGTCATGAGAGAAGGAATTATTTGTCTGTTGTTTTTTTTCTGTCATGCCAAGTCAAGATAAAAGCTTGAAGAAAAAAAAGTACATGAGCAATTTGGTCACATTGGTCAATGAAAACATCTCCTAATCATTCTTTTTCTTTGTTTCCTCAGAGGACAAGGATTCCGATGGAAAGGAGAAGAAGTCAAAGTCTAAAGAGAAAGACAAAAAGAAGGAAGCAGCGTCCCTGTTCCAGATAAACGACAAAGATTCTAAAAGCAAGAAGAAAGGTGATCGAAACAGTGATTTCAAAAACACGCCCGGTGTTTTCCTGCGACTGACAGCTCAACTTTCATCATCGCAGCTGTTCAGTTTGCTGGAATAGAGGTGAAGTCAACACACATTAAGGATTCAATTACCCTAATTTGTGTTCTTAATTACACCCCACCAAAGCAGCCGCCAAATCGGAAAGTGACGACAGCGAGGAGGAGGCCAAGTCGACAAAGTCCAAAAAGAAGTCTGCCGCAAGCTCCACGTCGTCTTTGTTCCAAACGTCAGGAGACAAAGAAAAGAAGACAAAGAAGAAAGGCAAGCTTACCTCTTGCATGCTCCACCTTTTCAAATACCAGCACTAATTCAAAAATGTGTTTTTGTTTCAGCAAAGGCAGAAGAGAGCGATGATTCAGAGTCAGAAAAAGAAGAAAAATCCAAAAAGAAGAAGGGCAAAGGAAAAAAGAAGAAGGTATCAACAAGATGCTAAAGTGGGGTACACGCATGCAGATTTTCAGCTGCTTAAATTATTATTATTATTTTTTTTATGTCACAATTATGGAATCGTGTTAATCCAGTGGTTCTCAACCTGGGTTCGATCGAACCCTCGGGGTTCGGTGAATCGGTCTCAGGGGTTCGACGGAGCCTCTGCCTTAGAGGTTAAGACACACCCGACGCAACATGTCAATTAGTTGTGACCCGCCCGCTGCAGATGATCACATTACATCACTTGTCCAGTCAGTGCTGCGGGAAATTTAGTTCACTCAGTCGTCCCCGTGTGACTGTCGTGATAGTACCTCGTGTGATTTTTTTTTTTTTTTAGAATTCTTTTTTAATACACGCTATGTCGAAAAAAAAAAGAAAGTTTTCGGACGAATATATACAACATGGATTCACATGCATCACGGAACGTGATGGGACTCACCGTCCGATCTGCATGATTTGTTTTGCCAAGTTTAGCAACTCTAGTCTCGCACCGGCAAAACTGAAGGAACACTTCTTGAATCAGATTTTTATGTTTCACGAATGAAGGGTTTGGTGAATGTGCATATGAACTGGTTGGGTTCGGTACCTCCAACAAGGTTAAGAACCACTTTGTTAACATGTTTAACATTTACGATCGTCAGCCCTGAGCAGATTCGAGAGGAAAGATACTTAAGACACCACACTGCACAGGATAATCTTTTCAAGACGTGTGACAGTTGAAGGGAAGGGGGAAAAAAAAAAATCACATTTTGTCTGAGTGTTTTCCACTTAAGGTTGTGTTCAAACTTGGGGTTTGATATTCTGGTTGGGGTCTAATTATAAAAATATATTGTTGTCTTTCCACTAGAGTGGCATGTCACTTGTGTTGTCAGAATGTTTCCAACTGTCAAAACAAACCGAGAAAAAGAAAATCTTTCTGACTTCTGTTGGCTCAGGGTGCCAAGATTAAAACAATGTTTTTCTCTGCTCCAAAAACTTAAAAGAAACTCCCCTCATTGCAGGGTTTTAGCCCACTGTCGCGAGATGGAAAAAGTCCTTGCAGTAACTCATCTTAAACTGAATGGGATCACATTTCTGACAAGCCGGAAATTCATCTGACGGTCTTTCAATCAGCTAGGAGCTAACAGTCGTTCCTCGTTTCTAATGATGCGTGACGAGACTTTAATTTGACACTGAAAGAAAAGTGACTCAGCCAGCTTGCGCTGTTGGGTCCGGCATTATCATATAAGCAAACATGTTTGTCATTGGACCTAAGGCTGCGTTATGAACAAAACATTTCTATCAATCTGAGGTCTGCACTCAAATAGCAAAATTTTCAAATAAGTTGAATATCATCAAACGCAAAGCAGTTAGCAGTGAAGGACGGATCTCCTTTTGAATAGCGAACCCTCCAAATTATCAGCATTCTTTGACATCACGCTTAGCAAAAAAGTTCCGCCCTTTGTCTGTTTAAGAGACTCGCTTCCAACCGGTGGTCATTTGGATGTCAAAGTGCTAACCAAGAAATTCATCCTAAGTGGTTACTTCCAACCAAAATGCCTGACCTCCAATCCTTCAATTCAATTCCGGTCATGGGTCCTCAAGAATTTGTCAAGCCTCCATGCTATAATAGACATGTCTACCCAATATGAGTAGATTAGTGAAAAAAACGAATCTAACTTTCTGTGGGGCACAGCTGAGAGGATTTACCCCAAATAACCACTTGAAACCCAAATGAGTGACTGTCTGGTCAATTTCTGGCACGGATCTTTGACACTTTTTCACTCGTCTTGTGATGATAGACATGCCCTCCAAATTTCGTGTCGTGGAAGCACACGTGACAAGTGTGAACACATCCTCAGGGAGCCTTGAATGTCTTTTTTTCTTCGGCCTGTAGCCCACAATAATGAATCCTTTGTGGGCAGGAGAGAGCACCATCACCTGAGATCGAATTTGACAACTTGGAAAAGTTTGTGATGGAGCCGGCGCCTCAAGGCACGACCGTCAAATGCAGAGTGACTCGAGACCAGCGAGGGATGGATAAGAGCATGTATCCACTTTACTTCCTTCATCTTGACAACGAGAAGAAGGTCTGTTGGAGTTTTGATTCCTTTCTTAAAGCGATATTAGAGAACATGTCTACCACCACCAGTGGTGTACAAAGTCGGGGTCAACACGGCCCTCGGCATCCACCTGAATGGTATCCGCAGCCCTGAAACCATGCCCCAAAAATAGATGCCACAAGATGACGACAAATCACTAATTTTGTCAAAACGAAGCTCTTCAACTCACTTCAACATACACGTTTCTTAGTATGACTATTTTTTTGCAAAAAAATAATAATGATTAGAATTAGTAACATTATGCCTTTTTTCTCATAAATAACTTACGATGGCCTTTTGCACTACACACCGTTGAAATGTTTAAATTATGAGGGGGGGGGTCGTTGAAAAAATGTCTCTTCTGTAAGGGGTCTCTGGACCTAAAACGTTGGTATGGATGTTTTTGAAATGGTAAACGCATGAATGTTTTGATGATGACAATTTGTAGTTTACATTTCTTTGCAGACATTTCTGTTGGCTGGCAGGAAGAGGAAGAAAAGTGCCACCTCCAATTACCTCATCTCCATTGATGCCACGGATTTGTCAAGAGGTGGTGATAACTTCATAGGAAAACTGAGGTACCACCGCCATTTATTCAAAGATGCATTTACACTGCGGGTCCAAGCACTCAAATCTATTTCCATGTACCGTATCGCACAAAACTGAGTACACCCCTCACATATTTGTCAACATATTCATCATATCTTACACTGAAAAAAATGACACTTTGCGACAATGTAAAGAGCTTGTATAACACCTAAAATGTTATACTTAACGCACAGCCGTTGATGTCTGCTGACAACAAAAGTGAGAACACCCTTAAGTGAAAATGTCCCACTTGTGCGCAAAGTGTCAAGAATTTGCGTGGCCACCATTAGCTGTTAGCAGAGCTTCACAGGTTGCTACTGGAATCCTCTTCCCTGTGTAACTTGAATCATGCGGTGCAAATCCAGCCAAAAATGCAGACCCAAAGTAAATACTGATTCAACATCTGCTTTTTCGTGTATTTTCCAGGTCTAATTTAATGGGCACCAAGTTTACTGTCTTTGACAATGCTCTAAATCCAGAAAAGGCCCTTCCAGACATGTCCAATGCGCGGCAGGAGTTAGCAGCAATCATTTACGTAAGTTATTAAAAATCTTCAAAAAGCTCCACATGTCACACTGAAATTGAAATCTCTACTTCCACGCATCAGGAAACAAATGTTTTAGGGATGAAAGGGCCCAGGAGGATGTCGGTCATCATTCCAGGCATGGACAGGGACAACGAGCGAGTACCGCTCCGACCCAGAAATGTGAGTGAGATGAGCTCAGAGCTGCAGATTCACTCGCAACAGACATTGGGCTCTCTTTTTGTGCCAGTCTGGCACGAAACACGGCGTAAATCTCTGCAGGGGCAGGCTGAACTGATTTTCACTGACGCCCGCAGCTTGCTGCAGTTTATAACGATTGTTTTGCATCGTGTGAAAAAAGCTGACTTGATTTGCTGCCGGTAGAGACAGCTCCTCTCATTTGGCGCGCGAGCGGCGCACCATTTTTGACAAAACAGAAGGAGAAACTGATTTGCTGGAGTCACAGGAGGTGACACAAAGGACATTTATCAGAAACTGCAAGAAGAACTCCATGGGCAGATGATTTAAAGTTGGCTGGACTGTAATGGCTCACAAGATGCTATCAGATAGCACCAAAGCAAATCTGTGTACAGTTTCTAAGCAAATTTGCAAATGTGGAACCGCAAATACTCATGTAGGTGTTCACTGTTTTCCTTTCTTAAAATTAATTGGGTGGTTAGTCTGTGTATTGCCATCTGGGTATGAATTGTGGTATGAATATTTTCATTTGGAATTTGTGTGCAATTTTTTCCCGGTCAGTAAGTTGGGGGGGGTGCACTTGTAAGTCAAGGTATCAATGTATACATAACATCAAATCATGGGAAGTGTGGTGTTGTATGATTTCATGAATCTTCCCAGGACTATGACGGCCTGTTGATACGGCACCAAAATAGACGGATGGAGAATCTGATTGAGCTTCACAATAAGACACCTGTGTGGAACGAGGAAACGGCATCACATGTGCTCAATTTCAATGGCAGGGTCACCCAGGCCTCCATCAAGAACTTCCAGATCGTCCACAGCAAAGATTGTGAGTTCCAGTCGGGCTACCTTGCTGTAAACACTTACATAATCTCCCATTCGCGCTTAGTCATTTCTTTCTGCCCCTGGCTTGCGCACTTTTATGCTGAAGTCAGATTACAACAAATGTAGCCCAACTTTGAGCCAACAGACTTGTCATAGACAAACTTAGTGTCTCGTAGACCAGCGGTCCCCAACCCCGGGGCCACAGACCGGTACCGGTCCGTGGGTCATTTAGTACCGGGCCACACAAAAAGAATAAATAACTTATACTGCTTCAGTTTTATTCATTTCGAAATATGAATGATGTTTTATTTTGATAAATTACCGGATTCTCTGGAATGGGGAGTCAATGGAGATTTTTAAGGACGGGGGTGATGTGATCACGAGTGCGGGTGTGGGTGGGAAGGTGGGCGGCGGCATTCTGGATGTACTGTAGTTTATTGAAGAGTTTGGAGGTTGTACCAAAGAGGATGCTATTGCAGTAGTCAAGGCGGGAGGTGATAAAGCCGTGGATGAGGGTTTGAGTGGCATTGAAAGAAAGTGAGAGGCGGAGGCGAGAAATGTTTTTGAGGTGGAAGAAAGCAGTTTTGGTGATTTGGGTGTTGTGTTGGTCGAAAGAGAGATTCTTATCAAAAAGGACAGCAAGCTTGCGACAGTGAGAGGAGGGGAACAGAGTGGAGTTGTCGATAGTGAGGTTAAAGTTGGAGGCTGTTTGGGTAAGGGACCTAGGACCGATTATTAGCAGTTGAGATTTAGTGCACATTAAACCGGTGGGGCAAAAAAGGTTGGGGACCGCTGTTGTAGACGATTTTGAGTTCTCTAGACTCATCACAGCCCATTTAGTGTGACATACTCAACAAGTGGTCGTGAGGCGTCTGGGACGTTAGGTTGCAGCGCCACATTTACATACACACACACACACACACACACACACACACACACACGCACACACACACACACACACGCACACACACACATACACACACACACACACACACACACACACACACACACATATATATAGTATATTTTAATATATATATATACAGTATATATTATTTTTTTAATCAAAACTTCTGTTGTGAAAGCGCTATATAAATCAGGATGTATTGTATTGTATTGTAAAACACCAACCACCTACCTCCCTACTGTCTCTACCTAATCTTTCATCCATCTCGTCTTTCAGTGGACTACATTGTGATGCAGTTTGGCCGAATTGCTGACGATATTTTCACACTGGACTACAAGTACCCCATGTGTGCAGTGCAGGCCTTCGCCATTGCGCTCTCTAGCTTCGATGGGAAAATCGCCTGCGAATGAGTCCCGATTGTTGCCTCTGAGGATCGGATTCA